TGACTCGACTTGTCATCAAGTTTTATTCTCAACTGATCTGGCACATGTCTATATGCTATAGAACCAAACACCTTCAAATGACTTATGTAGCACCCTAAATCCCCTGCGTATTTTAAATAAATTATCATATTAAAATTCAACACAAAAACATTTAGGATGTTACCTCTCAACAAAACCTACTCATGCTTTAGGATATGTAACACATGTCACCTTTAAAATTTACTAGCAGTAATAGTAATAATAAGACATTCACCATGTCTGAACTTCAAATTTATTATTAAGCAACGGAAACACCAACATCAAATCATTATTTAAAATATAATTATGAAATAATATAATTATAACAAAAATTCAATATAGGAGATAATATAATTCTCCATCAATAGAAATAAACACACAAACGCCGACCTCCAGTGTTACGCATCAGAGCAGACGTCAACTCTAAAAATAAAAGGAAGACATCATCTTCCACATGCATCCACTCTCCTACTGCAGATTATCTGCACGATGCCTATGTAAAAGCAACATTCAAACAAAAGGGGTGAGATATCATAATTATATAAAGAAAAGTATGATAGTAAACAAGTATTAGATTATTACATGCACATCACTCATTCCACAACACACCTTCACACAATCAATACAACAACCATCCAAACATAATAACAACCCAACCAATATGTAATACAATGAGACTCACAACCTGACACAATGCATGTGGTATCAATACATGAACTCTTAGGTTCGCCGCTCTGATCCCCACCTAGGATCAAAGACCACCAATTCGTTACCATCACCTATAATAATGCTTCACTGATTCCATCACCTCTGAAATCAGCTACTCACACCCAATTCCCACCTAGGATTGAGGCTCGCCAACACGGACCATCCGTCCAACACCATAAATGCATGCAACATATAACATGTGACAAAAACACCAATGCACAATTACCGTCATCACCATAGTCAATGTACTTCACCAATACTGACCATCATACACCAAACAAATTCTATAATCATTCAGTAACATCAACATACAGTATAGCAAGCTACAACAATTCATTTTATATTATGTCACACCACCACATAAACACTATAATGCACTTAACACCTTCACATAGAAAATTATTCATTTTAAGGTACTGAAACCAATTTTAGAATAAAGTTAGTCACGTTAGCTTCCCAACACTTCGAACAGCGCCCAAATCGGACACCCGGAACTGAAGTTATGAATTTTAGAAGTTTTTCAAAAAATTGATTCTAGTGTAACCGGTTACACCAATTAAGGTAACCACACACCTTGTAACCAAACCAACCAAGAAAACCACACACAGTGTAACCGGTTTCCATAATCCAGATAACTAATTACAGACTCAAAAATTTGCCTAGAAACGCCTTTTAAAAGCAGTGTAACCAGTTACACTCTTTCTGGTAACAGACTACATTGTGCGCAAAAGCACTTTTCTGCAACTTTCCCAAAAGAAAAACATTTTAATCCACCCCAAAACCTCATTTTTCTCACAGTTTGTTTATCACATTATTTTACCCCAAAAACCAGTTTACAAAACATCAAAACCCCAATTCTTTCTGCCAAAAACACTCATAACTTAAGTTCCAACTCTGAATCATGACAACCAACAACAACACAACATCTACAACACATAATTCCATCAAATGCATAATTCCAACAGCAACAACACAAAATTCACCAATTTGATCATTAATAACAACATCATCACACAACTTATAACTCATCAACTAATCATTTTATCCATAAACATACATTTGCAACAATGATCATAACATGGAGAGAAGAGAAACACAAACCAAGCATAGACATAATCTACCCACCATCATCATACAAACCTTTAGATAATAGGAACATCGCCCTTACCTTAGATTTCTTGCAAAACTCTCTCAACAATGGTAATCTCCTCTTCCCCCTTGAGCCTTAGCCTCTTCTTTCTCTTTTCTCCAAATTCTCACGTGTCCGACAAAACTCTTTTTTTTCTAATCCCCTTATTCTTATTATATTATTATTATTTAATCCAACTAATTAAAATAATAATAATAATAATTTACATCAAATATTTAATTAAATAAATATTCTCCTAGTATTATATAATTAACATTATATTAACTAATATAATTTAATTAGTCTTACTCGCCACACCATCAGATTCTACACTATTGCTCACTCACCCCCCCCCCCCAACACCTTAATTTTATTTTTGAAGGCTACTACCCCAAACCAAGGGTAGCTCAAACACACCAAAACACCAATCAACACGTACAATTACACAGCATCGCATAATTAAATTAAACTGGGGTGTTACAACTTAGGCTTGGCTTGACATCAGGCCAACATTATTCTGGTTTGATTCCTTATAACTTCTTCTTCGGACATCTAATCAAGATGTATATTGCAGTCGACACAGTTTCTCCCCATAATTCTTTGGGTAGATGTTTGCCTTTCAACATACTTCTTACCATATTCATGATGGTTCTATTCTTCCTTTCTGCAGTTCCATTCTTTGCAGAGTGTGGGGTGACACCACCTTATGCACAATCCATCTGTTCTCACATAATGTATCAAAATATTTCGACACATACTCTCCACCACCATCATTCCTCAGAATCTTTAGCTTTCAAATACTTTGTATTTCGACCATAAATTTAAATTTAGCAAATACCTCGATCACTTCACTTTTCTTCTTGATCAGGTAAGTCCACAGCTTTCAACTGAAATCATCTATAAAAGTGACAAAGTATTTATTACCTCTAATCAAATCCACCTGGATAAGATCACATACATTATATTGTATAACTTCAAGAATTGCCTTTGACTTGCTTTCTGCATCCTTGCTGAAGTTGTTCTTATACTACTTCGCCTGCACACATTCTCCACATACTTCATTTGGGATGTCGATTTTTGGTAATCCTAAAACCATATTTCTTCTCTTCAAATCTCTGATGTTTTTGAAATTTATATGGCCAGGTCTATAATGTCATATTCATCCATCTCTGTTTTCTGCAGTTACAAAGCACTTATGCTCCATCACATTAAGTTCAATCTTGAAGGTTCTATTTTGAGACATATGAGCCTTCAAGATTAACCTTCCTCCTTAGTCGAGAACTCTCATCATCTTGTCTTCGATTGGAACCTTGTAGTTCTTTTCAACTAGTTGTCCTATGCTGAGCAAATTACTTTTCATGCCTAGTATGTACAATACATTGAAAATTGTTGAGCTCTTGTCATTTTCCTCATAATCAAAATATCACCAATACCTTCAACTGCTAGAGTATTGTCATTTGCAAATTTCATCATGTTCTTTCATTAAGGGATTTATGCTGACAAACTAATCTTTCCTTCCAGACATGTGTGATGAACATCCTGAGTCCAAGTATCATTGGTCCTAGAATCTCTCTTCATCTCTTGTTGTGACCATTAGCAACATCTCTTTTTTTATATTTCGCCAGTTTTACATTAGTTTCTTGATTCTTCTTCTTTTTAGGACAATCACTAGAATATTGATCATACTTCTGGTAATTGTAACACTGAATGTGATTTTTGTTAGGTTTTCTACCACCACCTCTTCCTCTATCTGCAACACCACCTCTTTGCTTAGCTTGGTTCCAAGATTTTCTATGATTCGACCAGTTTCCTTCTTACTGATTTCGACCAGTCGAATTATTGTAGCCTTCTATGCCTTTGTTGTCATTCCAACTTCCTTTGCCTTTCTTTTCTTTTTGTTGATTACGCCTGCAAAGTCATATCATTCTTCGACTTGTCTGCAGCTCTTTCAACCATCATTTGCTCATGAGATTCAAGCATCCCTTGAAGTTCTTCATTTGTCAATGTTGATAAATATTTTGACTCTTCTATGGCTACTACCATGTGATCGAGCTTTGGAGCCAATGACTTCAAGATCTTTGCAACAACTGATCTTGATGTCAACACTTCTCCACATACCTTGATTTGATTCACCAGCTTTGTAACCCTAGTAAAAAAATTAGTTATGCTTTCACTTTCTTCCACCTGAAGTAATTCATATGTCCTTTTGTGAGTTTATAACCTCACCTGTTTCACCTTCTTTACGCCTCCAAATGATTTCTCCAGAATTTATCATGCTTCTTTCGTTGGTTCTACATCACTAACCTTTTCAAAATTATTTGGATCAACACGTTGATGAATTATAAAGAGAGCTTTATAATCTTTCTTCTTCAATTCTTTGTATGAAACTTTTTCTTGATCTGACGTGTTTTCTACAAGTGGTGTTACTCCTTCCTTCACAAGATCTCATAGAGCTTGATAACAGAAAACCATCTTCATCTGTTTGCACCAATTCTCATAATTCTGACCCTTCAGAATTGGGAGACTCGCCCGAAAATGCATGTTCGAATGATTCATCCCCATCGCGTCCACGAATCACAACCAAATCTCTAGATAGTAGATGTTGGAATTAACCCAAGACTTTGAGTAATTCTAAACCAATCTTGATGAACAAGATTCAATAAACCGATCGAAATCCCTTATTCTTCACTCTTCATTTGAGTGAATCAATCACATTAATTGAAAGAATGATTTTGCGCAGCAATTTTTAATGGAAGAAAAAAAAATTAAATAAAAAAAATTAAGGTTTGACAGAAAATTAAAATTTATTTGATTATTTTAGAACTAATTTATATTTTAAATTAATTTTACCTAGGTGCTCAATTAAAGTTCAAATACCAACAAAAATTCCTTTCATTTTTATTGACTTTATGTCTTATCTTTCACCTAATATTTCCATTATTGTCTCCCGCTGAATTTGTTTTTACCCTTTCTAAATCACTAAAGTAGTATATGATGGCAACTTTATGTTTTTCTGAATTGAAGAAACGTTCTTCATAATAATTCCATGTGACATGTTGTGATTTTTTCTTTCAATAATAATTTATAACAAAATGCTCCACTTATAAATAAACCATGGAGAGTGATAATTGAAGAATCAAAACCAATGGGATCTCAAAGTGAAGACCATGTTACAAAAATGCTTCAAGCTCAAACCAAAGTATTCAATCACATTTTCAGTTTCATAAACTCAATGTCCCTTAAATGTGCAATTGAATTGAGTATACCAGATGTCATACAAAACTATGGTCAACCTATCCCACTTTCACAACTCATTGCTAAATTACCAATCCACCCTTCCAAAACCGGTGACATATATCGTTTGATGCGAGTTTTAACACATTCTGGTTTCTTCAATGTCATTGAAAATAATAATGATGTAGAAGAAGTAATGTATGAGCTTAATGATGCATCTAGATTATTGCTTAAGGATCATCCCTATAGCATGACATCTTTGTTACATGTTATACTTGGTCCAATTATGAGTAAACCATGGTGCCAACTTTCTAGTTGGTACAAAAATGAAGACCTTTCACCTTTTCACACTGAAAATAATGGAGTTGCGTTTTGGGATTATGCTGGTCATGACCCTAAACTTAATGAGTTGTTTAATGAAGCTATGGCTTGTGAAACTAGAATGGCTTCTAGTGCTGTGATGGGGAAGTTTAGAAAGGTGTTTGAAGAGGTGGGATCATTGGTTGATGTTGGAGGAGGTGTAGGGACTATGTCTATGGCTATTGCTAAGTCGTTTCCAAATATTGATTGTGTTGTGTTTGATCTCCCACATGTTGTTGATGGATTGCAAGGAAGTGAGAATTTGAAATATGTTGGAGGGGACATGTTTGTGGCTATTCCTCCTACTCATTCAATTTTACTCAAGGTAAAATATTCAATCTTGTCATTACTATAAAATTTTGAGATCGATTAATTCAAGGAATAGCACACTCTCAAATCTTTACTCGAGTCTTTACTAAGAGACCAACCTTTAGGGCTAATAGACAAATTTATTTTTAGTTTATGAATGTTGTTTACAATTTAACTATATTTTAGTTTACGATTACATGCAGGGTGTACTGCATGATTGGAACGACGAGGAATGTTTGAAAATACTAAAGAAATGCAAGGAAGCAATAATGAGCAAAGGGAAAGTGATAATCATAGATGCAGTGATGGGGAATGAGAAGGAAGAGAATGAAACGATTGAAGCACAATTGTTCTATGATTTGGAGATGATGGTGTTGGTTAATGGAAAAGAGAGAAATGAGAAAGAATGGTCTAAGTTGTTTTTCTCTGCTGGTTTTAGGGAGTACAAGATAACTCATGGTCTTGGTTTTAAGTCTCTCATTGAGGTTTTTCCATAGTACTTGTAACTTAAATGGTCCACACTATTTATAAGGACTCATATGTATCCTCTCTTTTGTTGGTCTGTTTGAACTTCATATGTCTAATTGTGTGTTTGTTCTGTCCCTTTTTATGATGTGTGTTTGAGCATTGTATGTTGCACTATTGCTAATCAAAAGGAACACAGTTTGGGTTTTTTAAGTTGAGCTGGCATTATATAGTCCATATCTCATGTCATGGCGTTACAATCATATATAGATTTCAAATAAACTTGAACCCCTAAAAGTCGTCTTATAAGTGTCGCCCCCAGCTAAAATAATTTGATTATATCCATGAAAGTAATAATAGCGCAGTTATTTTCCATATCGACTAACTTAAGAGTAAATAAGTTAATGCTTCAATGAGAATTTTGACTTAGACTTTTTTCTTGATTACATATACTATGTTAGACAAACATTTGAGAAATCTAGTCATTGAATGAAATCTGCTTTAGAAAAAATGTCTACTTCAGATTTGATCTAAGGCATCAACTTAGGATTAAAACTTCTTGGAGGTGTTTTATGTGATTAATATCCTTCCTTATAACATGTGTTCTACTAATTTTCTATCCAAACCAGGAATCTTATGGTAACTTTTGTTGAAAATTGATTTTTATCTACATCCATGGTCTTTACTTAGAGCATAAATATCGGTCTCTTTGAAAAGTTCTTTCACAGTTTTCTAAGTTATGGTGTCAGAATGCATTGGATATTTCACTTTTTTCATCGTTGCCATATTAAAAACGTTCAAAGACTAAACCACGCTTCTTTCATATTACATGTTTTTATTTATTTTAAAAAAGAAACGACTACTTTGCATTCAAACCAACAAAAATAATTAATATGTGTGGGGTATGTTGTGAAATTTAGTGGAAGTCATTTTAGAGTTTTTATAGATTGTATGGATATTAAAAACATATAGCAGAGTTGTTTAAAAAATGAGAAGGTGTAATATAATATAAAAAATTGAGTGGGTCTCATTTAAATAATTCAAATGGAGATGATGGATGTAGATGCTCTTAGTCACCCATCTTGAATTAAGCCTTTGGTGAAGTGTCAAAGCTACACATTTGTTGGTATGAATCCAACCTTTGTCTAAGATGATAGAGTAAGAAGGATTTTGTAATGAATACTAAATAATGGAGAAAAATAGCACTTGAATTGATTGAATAAAAGATCACTTCCAGATATATTCTAGAAGGACAAGTTCACTGATGCAAATTTCAGAGAAAAACAAGAGGAAAAAAAAAGAGAGAGAGAAAAGAATAGAGATAATTTTCATAACTTATAATAATAATCGCTTTCATTATTCCTTAAATATTAGTTCATTTGTGCTCGTAGTCCCTCAACCTTGAACTAGTCAAGTCAGACGTCATTCCTTTTTTTTTCACCATAATTCCTGGATCAATGCTAATTGCATCCTTCCCCATGTTTCCATGTGGGTCCCCCTCCCCCTTGGCTGACTTGACAGAGAATGTGCTCTTTCTATTTTCATTCATTGCAGATTTTCATCTCTGATAATAAAAAAAAGGTTTGATTTACTTCCTTTGGTGATATCACTACATCTTATGAATCCGCCAAGTGTATTAGACCCTACCCCCATGAAACTTGTCATCTTTTAATATAGAAATGGAAAAACACTTAGAACCACTTCACCATTAATAAAATCTCAACTAAACAACGAACGATTGACAGAAACTTTAATAAACAAAGGTTTATGATTTTTTACCATCTTACTAGTTGATGTCACTTTAGGTTGAGGTTGTTGGGTTTACCGTTAAAGCTAGAGAATAGGTCTTAATAAGCTAGTTTTTAGGAGTTGATTTATTCCAGTTTGTTATATTATGTTTTCCTTATTTTTCTCTATTTCAGTTACACTTAAATTGTAAGGCTTTATAAAAGCTATAGCAGTCTTTTGAATAAACCATCAAGTATTCTATCTTACATTTCTGTTCTATTTCCTTTATCTGGCATCAGAGCTCGAAAGGGCCTGATAATAGTAATATACAAATTGAGTGTTTGAGAGGAAAAACACTGAGAGGAAGTAGGGAAAGTCTGCAATAGTGTTTGAGAGGAAAAACACAGAAGAAAGGAAAAATGGCAGCAGAAAGTTTCTCAACACCATGCGTTCCGAAGTTCGATGGTGACTATGATCACTGGAGCTTACTTATGGAAAATCTCCTCCGCTCCAAGGAGTACTGGAGCGTCATTGAACCAGGGCTCGAAGAGTTGAAGGGGACCGAAGGCATAAGCGCGAAGGCACTCGACGAAGCAAAACTCAAAGATCTCAAAGCAAAGAACTATCTTTTTCAGTCCATAGACAAGAGCATCTTGAAAACCATCACCCAGAAGGAAACAGCCAAACAGTTGTGGGATTCAATGAAAGTCAAGTATCAGGGAGGTGCTAGAGTGAAGCGTGCACAACTACAACGGCTTCGCAGAACATTTGAAACCCTAGAAATGAAATTGGGAGAAGGTGTTTCTGAGTACTTCGCAAGAGTCATGTCTACTGCCAATGAAATGAGGAACTGTGGAGAAAACATGAACGATGTTAAAATTGTTGAAAAAATACTTCGAAGTCTTACGGACAACTTTAACTTTGTGGTATGCTCCATCGAAGAGTCCAAAGACATTGATGATATGACAGTAGATGAATTGCAAGCATCTCTGCTTGTACATGAACAAAAGGTGATTGAGAAAAGAAGTGAAGAACAAGTTCTACAGGTGGAAAACGAGCAAAGGAATGTACAAGGAAGAGGCAGAGGCATATATCAGAGAGGAAATGGCAACTCTAGAAGCGGTAACTTCAGAGGCGGCAACTTTAGAGGACGGGGAAGAGGTAGATCTTTCGTTAACAGGTCAGCCATTAACTGCTTTCGATGTGGAAAGCAAGGACATTATCAATTTGAATGCTCAAGTCTGGAAAAAGGAGTCAATTATACCGAGTTCGACGAGGAAGAAGAACTTCTCTTAATGGCACACACAGAAGTCAGTAAATCTGAAGGAAAAGGTATTTGGTTTCTCGACTCTGGGTGTTCAAACCATATGACAGGAGACAAAACTTGGTTTGTTGAGTTCGACGAAAGCTTCAAGCATTCTGTCAGATTGGGTAACAGCTCAAGGATGGCGGTTCAAGGAAAAGGCAGCGTCAGGTTTGAAGTACAAGGAATCACACAAACGGTGTCTGACGTTTATTATGTTCCAAATCTCAGCAACAACCTATTAAGCATAGGACAGCTACAGGAGAAACGCTTAGTGATCATAATTAAAGAGGGTACTTGCAGAATCTATCATCATCAAAGAGGTTTGATAGTAGACACTCCAATGACTATGAATCGTATGTTTGTGGTCTATGCAAAGATGAAACCACTGCCCGGCAGTTGTTTGAAGATGGAGGAAGAAGACTTGGAGAATCTCTGGCACAAGAGATATGGGCATTTAAATAACAAGTCCATCCAAATAATGCAGCAAAAACAAATGGTAAAAGGGTTACCAAAGTTGAAAGAAGCAACCAAGATTTGCAAGGTATGCAATGTGGGAAAGCAGCAGCGGGGGAAATTTCCGAAGAAAAGTGGCTGGAGGGCATCAGAGAAATTGGAGTTAATTTATGGAGATCTGTGTGGACCAATCACTCCAATCTCTCACAGTGGTAAGAGGTATTTGTTAGTGTTTGTAGACGATTTCTCTCGGAAAACTTGGATCTATTTTCTTGCAGAGAAAGCAGAATCCTTTGAGGCATTTAAAACCTTCAAAAGTTTTGTTGAAAAGGAAGCAAGGACTTCCATATGCGGACTAAGAACTGACAGGGGAGGAGAATTTACGTCAAATAATTCAACCAGTTCTGCAAGGATCATGGCATAAGGCGACAATTGACAGCGGCATACACTCCACAGCAAAACGGAGTGGCAGAAAGAAGGAATCGAACCATCATGAACATGGTGCGCTGTTTGTTATCTGAGAAGGAGATGTCGAGATCCCTATGGCCAGATGCAGCGAGATGGACGGCTCACGTCTTGAATCGAAGTTTTACAAAGGCGGTAAAAGATATGGTACCTGAAGAAAGGTGGACAGGAATAAAACCAAAGGTGGACTACTTCAGAGTATTTGGCTCCATTGCACATGTACATGTCCCTAAACAGAAAAGAGTCAAACTTGACGATCGAAGTCACAAATGCATCTTGCTTGGGGTCAGTGAGGAATCTAAAGCTTACCGGTTGTATGATCCGGTAACAAAGAGGATAATTATAAGTAGGGATGTCATATTCGAAGAAGGCGGTAAATGGGATTGGAACTTGAACGCAACAGACGTAAAGCAGAATGTTCTTGCATGGGGAGAAGATGAAGTTGTGACAGAAGAACCTGAAGCAGAAGATACTGATGAGGATGTTGAAGAAATTGAATACGACAGTGCAACGGAGTTTCCAGAAACTGAAGAGTCAGCACCTGAAGAACGAACAAGAAGAGAGAGAAGGAAGCCTAGTTGGATGAGTAATTATGAAAGCGGTGAAGACTTATCTGAAGAAGAGGTACCAGAACAAAATTTAGCCTTGTATATCTCTCATGATGATCCAGTAAGTTTTGATGAAGCTGCGAAGGAAGAAAAATGGCAGGAGGCCATGAAGCTTGAAATTCAAGCTATAGAGAGAAACCAGACTTGGGAGCTTGTGTCACTGCCACATCAAGCAAAAAAAATTGGTGTTAAATGGGTATACAAAACAAAATTGAATGAAGAAGGTAAGGTGGACAAATGCAAAGCTAGACTAGTTGCCAAAGGGTATTCACAAACAGCAGGAGTAGACTACAATGAAGTGTATGCACCGGTGGCTCGTTGGGATACCATCAGAATTCTCCTGGTAGTAACAGCTCAGCGTGGTTGGTGTGTAACTTGACGTTAAAAGTGCTTTTTTGTACGGAGAATTAAAGGAGGAGGTATACATCGATCAACCGGAAGGGTTTATCAAAAAGGGAGAGGAAGATAAGGT